TCGGCATAGGGAGATATGCGCGTTTTAGCCGGACTGCACGGGCAGCCCTATTGGGAACCACATAGGCGGTGGAGATTATATTTTGATGTTATAAAGTGGGGCAGCACTTTTCTCACTTCATTTTTCATCCAAAACAGAACCCTAAGCTCCCTAAATTCTCCAAAAGCCACTCCCCATCATTCAAACAAATCCCACCAAGGTTATAAGGTAATTCTTCCTTCGCAAAGATCATAATACTCGTATAAGCTTGTTCTTTTCTTGTTGTAGTTGATTTGTGGATTCCTTCAAGTTGAAGTAAGCTCAAGTTAGGGGTTGTTCGTGTTGTGTAAGGTAAGAATCTCCTTCTTCAACATGTCTTTGCGCATACCTAAGTCTTGGTTAAGTTGTTGAAGTAAGAACTTGCGGAATCAGCTATCGAAAGTCATATATAGCTTGTTGTATTTGCTGGACTGTTTTGGAGTTGTTTTTATGTTGTCTTATAGCTGGAAATCATGGAGTAAGACTTGAGTATGTTGTTAATGTTGTTGCTCTGTACCTTGAAAGAAAGAAGGGTTTAAAGTGTAGCTTTACTAGTTGTAACCCGAGCTTGTCGCTCGACGTATCGTTTGTGTTGGTTGAAGAGATAAATATGTAGTTACTGGTTGTTATGATTGTTGTTGTTGTTGGGAACCTGAGGTTTTAAAAGGAACAGGGAGATGTTGCCCTTTTTTTTATAGAATAACTTTGTCGTTCGATATATGATAGTTGTATCATTCGTAGCTTGACGATAGCATCATTATCATTGATTGTAGATTGAGGTGCTGCTCAAGTTAAGCGTATTGAGTTGTTGAACAGTTGACAAAAGGTATGTAAAGGCTATTTCTCTTCTTAGATAGTATGAATCCATAGTCAAGTAAGTTCTGAACAAAGTATACCCAAGAAAAGTTATTCGTACCATGTTGTGTTATTCCATCTTGCTCGTGACGTAACTATCCGTTGTTGGGAATTCCTATTTAGTTTAGCATTGTTCCATGTCTGGTTGAGAAATAGAGAGTATACATGTGTCATTTACTGTATTACTATATACCTACGGGGCTAGACAGATGCGCGACATGCCTTCGAGGCTGGACAGATGCCTTTAGTGCGATACAGTTGCCTACGGGGCTATACATATACTCACCGATCCCTATATGAGTCCGGATAGTTTATTTCGGTACTACTTATATGATATGAGTCGGAGACAGGTTAGTATGTTTCTAGATTATCAGTGACTCCTCATATTACATTCAGTGTATCATGTATGTCAGTTCAGTTTCAGTTTCAGTTATTCAATTGCCTTACATGCTCGGTACATTATTTCGTGTTGACGCCCCCTTTTGCCGGGGGCGCTGCATTTCATGCCCACAGATCCTAACAGTTAGAGAGATAGGCCTCAGCAGTACGCGCGCCAGCATACAGCTTGATTGGTAAGCTCCACATTATCCGGAGTTACCAGGTCTAGAGTTTTGTTATATATTCAGACAGTATGGGTAGGCTGGGACCTTGTCCCGACCATAGTAATGTTGTATTCTGTAGAGGCTTATGGACATATCCTATGCGTAGAGACATCAGCATGGAGGCCTTGTCGGCCCGTTTAGGTATATATATTTTAATTTGCTTTCCGTTCAGTTGAAATTAGTAGTTCATTCCTCAAATTTTCATAAGTTATGGCCCTGCTGGCCTAAGATAATACAGAAAGGTATTCAGCTGGCCTTGTCGGCCTAAGTTGTCATATATGTTCAGACAACATAAGTTCCAGTAGGTACGCTCGGTCAAGTAAGGCACAGGGTGCCAGTCTCGCCTCCCCCGATTTGGGGCGTGACAAACTTTGTACGGGAGCAGGTGTGTCCTAGGGAGTTCACAACCCGTGTCTAGTAGAGCCTTATTTATGGATGTGTTGTGCACCACATTTATAAATAGGAGACTACAGGGCATTTATGACCGATAGTAGTGAGAAAGTACGAAAAGGGTTATTTGAACCATGAATTTAGAGTTAAATGCAGTAGTACGCGCGCTTTAGATATGACGGCATTATCTATAGAGTGTTCATGTTGAGACTCTACAAACCATAAGAGCTTCCACTGCACCTTTAGGTAAACGGAGCTAAGTTGATGATAAAGGTGATGGCTTAAGTATTTTAAAGGATTTCAAATTTAGATAATCCTATACCATTTGGATAAGGTTAACATTGTAACCAGTGCAACCAGCCGTCTATCCACGAGCGGCCTGATTGATTTGGGGGCAAAGGAAAGAAGTTGGCCAAGAGATGCATCAATTAGCTAGGGAGATATGCGTGTTTTAGGGACAACCCAGTAGGGTTTCCAATACACTTCCTCAGCATAGACACATGAAATATCGGACAGACAGATTCTAGCTCTAAAGGCAATTCTAGCTTTTAGGCTACTTGACCTATCCTCAGAATGATTCTATAGGGCCCATTGGCATAGGGAGATATGCGCGTTTTAGCCGGACAGCGCAGGCAGCCCTATTTGGAACCGCGTAGGCGGTGGAAATTATATTTTGATGTTATAAAGTGGGGCAGCCCTTTACTCACTTCATTTTTCATCCAAAACAAAACCCTAAGCTCCCTAAATTCTCCCAAAGCCCCTCCCTATCATTCAAGCAAATTCCACGAAGGTTATAAGGTTCTTCCTTCACAAAGATCGTAGTACTCGTATAAGCTTGTTCTTTTCTTGTTGTAGTTGATTTGCAAGTTGAAGTAAGCTCAAGTTAGGGGTTGTTCGTGTTCTGTAAGGTAAGAATCTCCTTCTTCAACATGTCTTTGCGCATATCTAAGTCTTGGTTAAGTTGTTGAAGTAAGAACTTGCGGAATCGGCTATCAAAAGTCATATATAGCTTGTTGTATTTGCTGGACTGTTTTGGAGTTGCTTTTATGTTGTCTTATAGCTGGAAATCATGAAGTAACACTTGAGTATGTTGTTAATGTTGTTGCTATGTACCTTGACAGAAAGAAGGGTTTAAAGTGTAGCTTTACTAGTTGTAACCCGAGTTTGTCGCTCGACGTATCGTTTGTGTTGATTGAAGAGCTAAATGTGTAGTTGCTGGTTTTTGTGATTGTTGTTGTTATTGGGAACCTGAGATTGTAAAAGAAACAGGGGAGATGTTGCCCGTTTTGTTATAGGATAAGCTTGTCGTTCGATATATAATAGTTGTATCATTTGTAGCTTGACGATAGCGTCATTATCATTGATTGTAGATTGAGGTGCTGCTCAAGTTAAGCGTATTGAGTTGTTGAGCAGTTGATGAAAGGTATGTAAAGGCCATTTCTCTTCTTTCGATGGCATGAACCCATAGTTAAGTAAGTTCCGAACATAGTATACCCAAGAAAAGTCATTGGTAAAGATCTCATGTTGTGTTATTCCATCTTGCTCGTGACGTAGCTATCCCTTGTTGGGAATCCTATTCAATTTAGCATTATTCCATGTCTAGTTAAGAAATCAAGAGTATACATGTGTCCTTTATTGTTTGCTATACACCTACGGGGCTAGACAGATGTGCGCCATGCCTTCGGGGCTAGACAGATGCCTTCGGGGCTATACAGTTGCCTACGGGGCTATACAGTTGCCTACGGGGCTATACATGTACACACCGAGCCCTATATGAGGCCGGATAGTTTATTTCGGTACTACTTATATTATATGAGCCAGAGATAGGTAAGTATGCTTCCAGATCATCATTGACTCCTAACATTACATTCAGTATATCATGTATGTCAATTCAGTTTCAGTTTCAGTTATTCAGTTGCCTTAAATGCTCGGTACATTATTTCGTACTAACGCCCCTTTTGCGGGGGCGCTGCATTTTGTGCTTGCAGGTCCCGATAGTTAGAGAAATAGGCCTCGGCAGTAGGCAAGCTAGTATACAGCTTTATTGGTAAGCTCCACATCATCCGGAGTTACCAGGTCTAGAGACAGTATGGGTCAGCATGGTGACCTTGTCGGCATGTATATGTATTATATTTTGGATTTCTTCCCATTCAGTTCGTAGTTGTTCATTCCTCAGATTTTCATAAGCTATGGCCTTGCTAGCATAAGATATTGCAGAAAGGTATTCAGTTGGCCTTGTCGGCCTAAGCTATGTTCAGATAACACAAGTTTCAGTAGGTACGCTCGGTTAAGTAAGGCACCGGGTGCCAGTCTCGCCTCCCCGGATTTGGGGCGTGACAATACCTTTCTATATTTCGAATCAATACCAACTTTAAACTTCTCATTTTACACTGAATGAGATGATTTATAGCCAAAGAAAAATCTATGGCATGTTTTAAACCACAAGTTTCAAAAGTGTTCCTTTCTTAAACTTTGTGTCTAGTCAAGCACCTTCACATAAATTGGACAGAGGAGTATCAGTTTCAGGGAGACGATGACCTCTGGGAGTAGCAGTAAATGCAAAAGAAGATTATGTAACATTGCATTCCAAGTCTTGGGGGTTCAAAGAAATGTTAGGATGACACGTAAGAAGAAAGCTACCACAGATGACAAACCCAACTTCTAAATCTTAATTACAGATTAGGATACAAATCAAGGAATCTATCACCTATGTGCAAGTATAGCACATGACAAAATCAACCGATCTACAATAGCATTCTGCCAGCTTCACCAACTTACATGATGTAAACAGTACCATTTCTATCTGACTACAGCTGAATTTTTCTTACCAATGAATTAGTTCATCTTTCTATCAACTTTTTGTTGTTTAGGCAAAATCAGCTTCATCAAAAAGATAACTGAAGTACGTGACTCATCCACACACATATTAGTGAAGCCCTGAGATTGGAGGATCCAAATTAAAAGTCCAAATTAAATTGTCACAGGGGGTTTTACTCTGTAGATAGCGTAATCCAATAAAAAATTTTATATGAGGCTCTCTTGATACAGGACACAAAAGCAAAAATAATTGAGCATCTATAGAACTCTGAGAAGCATCACACATGATATGGGGATTGCAGAGCAGCTGAAACATACATGCTTTCAGGGTCTGTATAGCTATCCTTGTCAAGTATCTTTACCGAAACTTTTGTTCCATTCCATTTGGCAATTTGATATGAACCCTGTAAAAACTTAAAAAAAGAAAATTTAGAAAACTTGTTGAGAACAGATCCAAAACTTATCCAGCCAAAAGCATGGCATGAAACGAAAGTGGGCCTTGTATCTCACGGCTTCACTCAAGAAGCAAAGAAAGATAAGAATGGTTAAAGAATCTAATGTATTCAGGCTTCCTTTAATTTTAAATGGAAGGTAACTTTCACAATTTAAGGCCTAACTGTGCCTTCATCAACCGTAGCATGATTGAAACATCACAATGCTGATTAACAAAACAAATAGCTTGCCTTTGAGATTCCATCGCTTCTGCGGATTTGAAGTTCCAGAGGGTTTAGTTCATATTCTGGAACTTCTCGAGGATTTGCTACAGCCATTGGCGTCTTTCTGTTTTTCTAGCAACATATAACACGCTTCTATGAGTGCCAAAACATAAGGAACCTCAATCTGATTAGGAAACTTGACCCACTTACTGGCGCTCTGGCTCCACGGGCCTTCAAAATGTTGTAAATTTCAGCATTTCCATAGTATTTGGCATCAGCTACTGCCTGTCACAGCCAGTTATAACAGTCAAAGTTGGGTAATAAGGGATAAAGCAACAAGATTTACGTTTAGATATATAGCACTACTAAAGCCAAACTCATAAATTGCTTGATTGTTATAAAATATGAGCCTTTATGGGTTGGTTGCTTGTCCTTAGTTTATCAAAGCATTTTACACATTTATAGGACCTAAATAAGATTATTCGGAGATAAAAAGCTTGTACATATCTTGTTCATCATACGTCAATACTTTCTCAAAGTAGAGAATCTCCACCTGCTAATGCCTATACCATTGCATTGTCAGAACACAAACAGCAAAGTATTTGGATATAACAGAAGGAAGGAGGAAGAAGAAAGCCAAAGGATCCCCATAGTTTGTTTAAATTAAAGGTTTTACTTATCCCTACTGCAATTTACCAAACAACAACAAGAAATAATCCCCAAAGGAGTAAAAATAACAAGATTTATACCGTGCTACCCCAACGATCACGGCCATCCATATTAGCCTTCCTACTCAACAGAAGCTTGACAACTTCGACATGGCCTTCACATGCAGCAATGTGAAGAGCAGTCCTCCCATCCAAATCGATGCTGTCCACATCAATGCCTTCATCCAACAAGTCCTGAACTCCCTTCACATCCCCTTTACACGCCATGAATAACAGCTGCATCGTCGAATCGAGATTGTCTGGCACACTCAGCTCGCCATTTTCATTCGAAGAGCTCCTTCGAATCGGATCAAGCGACGACTGCCTGCCGAAACTGAATCTCAAATTATTCCTCCTTGGATCGAATGAATTCTGCCTCTTGAAACTGAATTTTCCGCTCTTCCTAAAGGATCCTGTTGAGAATTGCCTCAATATCCCTCTCTTTAACTGCGTTGCCACCTCCATTTTTAACCTTTCAAATTGACATAGAGAATAGTTTGATTTGATCAATTATGACTACTCCATGGCTGAAAAACAGCACTTCCACTATAGCAGATGTACAAAGAGAAAATATAAAATTAGAGATCCCGTTCTAATTTACCCAGAAAGTAAACACATGCTTTAGCCGACGAAGAATTAAGGATGGGAAAATATTTTTACAAAGAAGAAGAAAAAAAATATGAAAATGGGTATTTCTACATGGGTGAGCTGATGAAGGATCAAGAAAGGTAAATGGAGAAAAGGAAGAAAGAAGCGGAGTTTGGGGGGGTGTGGGGGCGGGGGGGTGCGAGGGGGTTGTTTAGAATGTGGAGTACTATCGAGAGATAGAGAACAGCTCTGGTCGGGGAGAGGTTGAAAGGGAATGGTACTACACGGTCTAAACGGGTACGCCTATTGTGTGACCAATGGAGGCGGAAACATAGTATGTCAAAACTCTAGCTCGGGTTAGGTTATATCGAATCAAGGCGTATAAGTAGATCGTCGAGCTCGTGATCTCGGGATCGAACAAGATCGATACCTAATAAAATCGAGCAAAACTTGCCGAGTCAAATAACGGAAGGCTAAAATATCCGCAATATCACGACGGAAATCATCAAGAAGAAGCCGATTAATTAGCAAATCATGAGATTTTTTTCCTTTTATAGAATTGTATCAAAGTATGACACCCCTACTATATAAAGGGGGTTTTAGATCATTCCTAGGGCATTGTAACACGCAAAAAGAAAGCAATATACTATTATTTCTAGTTCTTATCATCTTGTTGTTCTGTTCTAACGTTAGTTGAGGCATTTCTTGGCTTGAGGTTGATCAAACTCAAAGGCTAAGGCTGTTCAATTTGTGTAGTTTGCATTTATTTTCTTATCATCAATTTCAATAATAATCTGTTTTCTTAATTTGTACCAAGTTATATCACGTATCCTTAAAACCGCGTATAAACTTAATTGTTATCCAATTTTGAGGCTAAACATGAATAATTTTTTGGTGAAAATTGGAGTTGGAAAAAATTAAAACTAGATGAGCTGAAAATTGAGAGTTGAAAATGATGATTGAATTTGACACACACAATAGAGGAAAGGATGAAATGGAGTCAACATTGAAATCTTTTGTATATCCACGATTTAACCGGAGAAGGCGTTATTCTTGCAAGTGGAAAGTGCCTAGTGGCTTTGCCCCACGAGAATTGAAGCCCCGATTGGACCATTAGTAATTTTTCTCACCCGCGACCACGAGCGAACCCAAGTACTAGTACTTTGCACTAACGTGAACAACTAGGAAAAGTTTGTGTAATATTAGTACTTATAGCTCGTTTGGCCAAGCTGCAAAAATCAGCTTATTTTGAGAAGTGCTTTTTTTTAAAAGTGCATTTCTCAAAAGTACTTTTGGTGAGAAGCAGTTTGTGTTTGGCTAATTAGTTTGAAAAGCACTTCTGAGCAACAATTAGCGTTTGGCCAAGCTTTAAAAAACTGCTTCTAAGTGTATTTTTCTCAAAAGTGCTTCTCACAAAAGTGCTTTTGGAGAGAAGCTATTTTTTTCTGCTTCTCCAAAACTGCTTCTGCTTCTACTCAAAAGCACTTTTTTTCCTTCCAAAAGCTTGGCCAAACACCTCAATTTTTGGCCAAAAGTGCTTTTGGCCAAAAAAAAAGCACTTTTGGCCAAAAAAAAGCACTTTTGGCCAAAAAGAAGCTTGGCCAAACAGGCTATTAGTCACTTTTAATCTTTTGCTATTAGCGTCTGGCCAAAAAGAAGCTTGGCCAAACAGGCTATTAGTCACTTTTAATCTTTTGCTATTAGCGTCTGGCCACGATTTAAAAATTTATAAGACTTTAGCCACTCCATTTAACCGCAGGTATATTTTGGACAAAAGTACCCCCAACACACTGGATAACTCCAACAATCGCTACTAGATTTCAAACATTCTACAAGTGGAATTCTAGCATAATATACTGGAGTTCGAAAAACCCTCCACATTTGAAATTCAAAATACATGATATTGGACTTCAAAGCTGTATAGGGTAAAATATTATATGACATGTGGTCATCTAAATGAAGGACACGTGGAACCTATGACGAGGATAGCCGAAGACCGAACACAGATATTCTGCTTGTCACCAGAAGGGATAACGTTCATAGAAAGATGTTAAATGCCTTACGTCCGGTAGCATTTAATAAGGAATATTTTACAGCATTAAGAGCAACGGCCCGTTACAGAAAATTTGGCATTTATGTCCACGATCCTAGGACCTCCTTCCCTAGACATAGCTATAAATAGAGAGCTTAGTTATCATTGTAAAGGAGACGAATTCTCTGGCTAACTTATACAACATCTATACAGAACTTAAATACAATCTTACTTTCTCGCTTTTTGACCTCATCATTATTGTGCCCGGAAACCTTATTCTCGGACTCATCAACTCTGCTATTTCATTTACATTTTAAGGCTAAGTATTCTTCAGTTATTTCTTTATTTCAGGATCAAATTAGTTCACTTGTCTAGAAACCACGAACAAATTCAATCGTACTGTTTTACGGGTAAACAGTTTGGCGCCCACCGTGGGTCCTAGACAGCCGTGCAATTAAATTGATCCTTGCCTTTTATACTAATGTACTTTGATTGTTTTGTCTTAGATAAAATCACAAAAAATGGTAGATAACACTGTTAACAACACGTACAGTCCTGAAATTCGAGGGGATCAACCTCATTTCAAGGATTCAATCAGTGACACCCACAATGAGGGGAATGACGCCACGCTGGTGCATGACAGGCAACATCATCGACATGTTCGGGAGACAACTCCCGATGATGCTAATGAGGAGCATGTCGCCGATGCGGTAAGGGTCTTGCAAGAGCAACAGGCGATCATTCTAGGTCATCTCACGCGGCAGGATAAGGTTATGACTTTGAAGCAGGCGCTATTGGGGGACTTCGAATAATGCAAACGGGCGAGATCCAATTCCTCCCAGTGTCCCCGCAAACCAAACAACACAGAGAGTCGACAACAACACTCCCAGGGGTGAAGTCGGCTCCGAAGGGGCTAGGGAAAACGGATCCGGTCTCAACAACGGGAACGACTCATTCAAGAATGAACTTTACGATTTATGAGGGAAGTAAATGCCCGCATGGACCAAATCCCAGGCGCGCCACCAGTGGCCGGACTCGAAGAAGTATACTCAATTGCCATATTAGCCGAGCGCGGCACCAGAACTAATCCCAAAGCGGTTCAAAATGCAGTGCCAAAGTATGACGGGACTTCAGACCCACATGAATATATTACCACCTACACAATAGCGATAAAAGGAAATGATCTAGCTCCCCACTAAATTGAATCTGTGTTACTAAAGAAATTTGAAGAGACTCTCACGAGGGAGCGCTAACGTGGTATTCATTACTACCCGAGCATTCCATAGACTCCTTTGAGATGCTCGCGGACTCTTTCATCAAGGCTCACGCCGGTGCCAGAAAGGTACAAGCCTGAAAGTCCGATATATTCAGGATCGCGCAGGGAGAATCCGAATTATTACGAGAGTTTGTTACCCGATTCTAGAAGGAAAGAATGTTACTATCGGCTGTCCCGGATGAATGGGCAACAAAAGCGTTCACCAAAGGATTGAATCGGAGAAGTTCAGACACTTCCCGGAAGCTGAAAGAAAGTCTGCTTGAGTTTCAAGTGATGACATAGGCGGATGTCCACAACCGGTATGATTCAAAAATAAGGATCAAAGATGATCAGATTGGCTTTCCATCGTCGACCAAAGGACGAGAGAAAAATAGAGAAAAAATAAAAGATGATTACGACACGGATAAACGAACTTCGAGGGGCCGATTTTTGCGCTACGAGCGAACCAAAGGTCATGGCAGAGGCTTTCGGACAGCAGAAAAGTTCGCCATTGACAGATGGACCGATTGTGGCCGGCACAATAGATCACTAAAGGATAAAGAAACGCCAGGGTCGCGGGATCCCTCATACCCCAAGTTATCGAAGTATAACTTCAACGTCAGTATAGTGGAGTTGGTATCAGCCATGAGAAACATCAAAAAAGCATGATTCCCAAGACCTATGAGATCTTATTCCAGCCAAAGGGATCCCAACTTATAGTGTGAATACCATTGACGAACGGCCATCGAACAGGGGGCTGCCGACATCTCCGGGAAGAAGTGGCAACACTGTTGAAAAATGGTCACCTCAAAGAATTCTTGAGTGACCAAGCTAAGAACAATTATTGTCGGAACAGAGACAACATGGAACCCTCAAAAGTAGGAGAAGAACCCCCACGCCAAACGATCAATATGATCTTCGGAATGAATGAGATTAACGGGGTCACCTTTTCGGCAGCAAAGAAGACGAAAGTATCAATAAATCATAGTAAAAGGCTCTAGGAAGACGATATCACTTTTACGTAGGAAGATGCAGACGGATTGCTGCTACCACACAACGATGCACTGGTAATTTCTTTAAATGTATTAGATTTTAAGATTACACATGTTCTAGTGGATCAAGGAAGTTCAGCTAATTTCATACAATGGAGAGTACTGAAACAAGCTAAACTCACCGATAGTATTATTCCGGCAACAAAGCTCCTCGCTGGATTCAACCTCGCGAGCATGACACCCCGAGGAGAGATTTTGCTGCCACGAACGCTGAAGGAGTAATGAAAACAACTCTCTTCGAAGTTGTAGACGGGGACATAGGATACAATATCATCCTGGGAAGGCCATGGTTACACAAGTTGAAAGTTGCGCCTTCAACGTATCACCGATTATTGAAATTTCTGACACCCAAGGGGATCAAGCGGATAAGGGGTGACAACCGGAAACAAGTGAGATGAATGCAATTTCGGTCTTCAGTATCAAAGGAAAGGAGCGTGTGGCATAGCAATTACAGGAACCCGTACTTGCCCCCGAACCAGAGGAAGTTAGTCCGGGGATAGAATAATTGGAATAGTATCAGGTGCCAAGGTATTTCCAGGTTCCAGAAGAGACGGACGCTATGAAGTCCACGGCAGAAGAACTAGAGCAAGTTGCGTTGTTCGAAGAATTCCTAGAAAGAAAATTCCATTTGGGAACAAGATTACACTCGGAGATCGAGTCTGATTTAATTGAATTTCTTAAAATTAACGCCGATTGTTTTGCATGGTCGCACGAGGATATGACAGGTATCCCGATAGAGGTGGACGTACACAAGTTAATCTTGGATCCCAACGTACCTCCAGTAAGACAAAAGAAACGTTCTATTGCTGAAGCTAGGAATAAATTCGTCAAAGAAGAGGTAACCCGTTTACTCAATATTGGTTCAATCCGAGAGGTAAGATATCTGGACTGGCTCGCTAATATAGTAGTTATTTCTAAGAAATAATAAATTTCACTTTAGTGTAGAATA